TCTATTATTACCCCAGAAGATTCTACTTTTATTATACCTTCTAGTTCTCATGTGTTGTTTTTTTCAATAAGTTTTGCTTCTTGATTCATAATTTCCCTTCGATCTGCAAATTTCCCTTCAATAGATTCTACTTATTAAAAAAACACATGAGAATTAACACATTTGTTGATAGAATGCAATAAGATTGGTGTAAATTAGAGCTACAAGACTAAGTATGATGGAAATAGATAAACTCAAAAACACACTCAAGCTAGTAGCCAAAAGTTACTCCTAACATGAAAGAATTATTTTCTCCACTTGTTAGATAGACACCATTAAAACTCTTTTGGCATTGATAGCTTACAAAAACTAGAGTGCATACCAACTTGATGTGAAAAGTGCTTTAAAGTGTGTTGAAGGGTAATTCAGTATTTTTCTATTTAGCCTACGTGACGTTATTGTTTGTGTATATAATAAGTAGTGTGTTTAGCCTATGGAATATAAGAAAAAACGCATTGTAAGATAGAGTAGTGGAGTAACCATTCTATGTGTGTAACCGTTAGTAGAATTGTAGTGGAAGATTGTTAGAGTTTGTTATTCTCTCTCTCTCTCTCTCTCTCTCTCTCTCTCTCTCTCTCTCTCTCTCTCTCTCTCTCTCTCTCTCTTCCTCCATCTTCATTTTTTCACCTTGTGCACCAACAATTGGTATCTAAAGTTTTGGTTCAGATCCATAGAGAAACACGAGTGAACGGTGAGGCGTTGTGTGATTGATTTCGTTTTTTGAATTTGTGTTAAATTTCTTGATCAGAATCATAACAGAATCACATTTCTTGATTCTACAAGATTGGAAAACACTAGTGTTTGGTGAGATCTGAGTGAACTGCACAAGGTCAAAGATGAACGGAAAGGGTAATCTGAGTACCGAGATTTCAGTTTTCAATAGCAAGAGCTGGAATTGTTAGATGATTCAGATACGTGTGTTGTTTGGCTCTCAAGATCTTCTTGATCTCATCAACGACGGTTACATTCTAGTTTCACTTCCAGAAAATGTAACAGATGCGTAGACAAATGCTCAGCGTGATCTGAGGAAGAAGGATCAAAAGGTATTTTTCTACATCCATTAGTGTATGGATGTGAACATGTTTGAGAAGATCGTTGATTCGATGATTGTGAAGGTTGTTTGGGACATACTGGTAAGGTGTTACGGCGATGATGCATCAGTGAAGAAAGTGGAGCTTCAGTCTCTATGTAAGAAGTATGAGAATCTCAACATGAAGAACAATGAGAAGGCACCTGAGTACATCTCTAGAGTGATTCTGATCACAAATGAGATGAAATCGTGTGGAGAAACTCTCTCTGATGAAAGGATCATTGAGAAGTTACTTAGATCTCTTACTCCTCAATTTGATTACATTATGGTAGCAATTGAACATTCTTAAGATCTGAGCACCATGAGAATAAAAGAGTTGCAAAGCAGTTTATAGGCACAAGAGTTGCATTTGACTGAAAGAACCTCTAGAAGAGAGGTAGAGCAGGCTCTGAAATATTTTTTTGTCAAGAAGGACCAGAAGTAGTCTTGGTCAGAGGCCAAGAAAAAACATGGTAGGTTTCAAGAGACAGAAGCCTCAAATTCTGATGAGAAGAAACATCAAAAGGGAATGGAGAAGCTTGACAAGAGAATGGAAGTTAGAAGAAGCAAATATAGCCATAAGAGATTCTGATGATGAACTTGTGTTATTGATGGCTTATGAATCTGATGATGATGAACTTGTGCGATTGACGATTTCTGATTCTGAAGGAGACTCTGAATATGAGTAAGAGTCAGAAGATGACTCTGAATCTGAAGTCAAGTTTGATTCTAAATATGAGTGAGAATTAGAAGATGACTCTGAAGCTAGATATGAGTCAGAGTATGAAGATGAATCTGAAGATGAAGAAGACTCTAAAGACGAGTCAAATTCTGAAGGTGAATCTTATTCTAATCCAGATTCTGGAGGTAACCCAATCTCTGGAGATGGAGCATCTGGAGGTTGAGCTTTTGAAGAAAGATCTTCTGAAGGTGGTCCAACTTCTTAGGATGGTCAAGCATCTGATACTGTTTCAGAATCAGAAGGAAATTCTAAACAAGTTTAGAGGCTACAAAGAATAAAAAACATACTAAGAAGGTTTGCAGAGTTTGTTATGCTGCAAGATATTGAAGTAAACTCTAAAGGAGAAGTCATTCAGTGTGCCATGTTAGTAGACTCTGAACTAGTGAGTGCAAAATAAGCGCTCAAGAAAAAGTATGGCTGAAGGCCATGAAAGAAGAACTTGAGACTATAGAAAGAAACAAGACTTGGAAGTTGACTGAGCTTCCAAATGACAAGAAAGCCATCAGCGTCATATGGGTTTTCAAGGGGACTCTAAAGTTGATGATTGATAACAAGTCTGCAATCAATCTTGTCAAGAACCCAATGCTGCATGGGAGAAGCATATTGAGATAAAGTATTATTTTCTTAAAGTCAAGTCCATAATGAAGTGTTAGAAGTTGTGTACTAGGGCACCCAGAAGTAGCTGACAGATGTTCTAATGAAGGCGATCAAGACTGGTCAATTTATCCACTTAAGGGATAAAATTGATGTTGATAGTTATGATCAGTTAAATCCTAAATTAAGGGATGGTGTTAAAGGGTAATTCAGTATTTTGTACTTAGTATACGTGGCATTGTTTGTGTATATAAATAGTAGTGTGCTTAGCTATTAAGAAATGTAATAGAAACGCGTTGTCCAATAGATTAGTGGAGTAACCGTTAGTGAAATTATAGTGAAAGTTTGTTACTCTCTCCCTCCCTCCCTCCCCTTGTGCACCAACAAAGTGGTTTAAAATGAATATATAGATCATCCTCTTATTTATCATTAGGAGGAGGGAAACATGATGTAAAAATTTAGAAAAAAACATAGTATCAACTCAAACAAGCACCAAAATCTCAATACAACAAAATTGAGTCACATTTTTATAAAAAGCTTTTTAACAAATATCTTCATGAAGACGCATTATTTGTGAATTAATGATTTAATATAAGTAAAAGAAAATGATGAAAGAATGTTTAAAACTACTATGTGTTCCTTGAATAATAATATCCAATTTAAAAGTGATATTTTTAGAATTAAATAGTTTGTTGGTTAAGTTACTTAATTGTTTGTGAAATAACTGTTTTCTTGCGATTACATCGGAAGCTATGTCATAAGCTGTCAAATTTGAGCTTTTAAAATATCATAATCGAGCCATCTAATAATGAGGTGAAAAACACCCATCCCATCATCCTCAATGAATTTTGCAGAAACATTCTCTTGTCGGCATTCTCTTCCTGCTGTTGAACGTTTTGTCTGGTATTCCAAGTCCCACTCATGATTTTGACAGCATAACTCGTTCAAATAAGGTTAAATCATAAGCTTTTTTTTCTGAGGCACTTAAACCATAAGCTTACGCACCATATTTTCATTATCTCATGCAAGAGATACACTAGTCTAGTCGTGTGTCTTAGGACTTGGGCATTAATATTAGTGAATTATTTAATGTATGATAAGGATTATTATCACACCGCTCGTAAGAAATCAAAAATATTTTTAAAAATTGAAAATTCATATATAAATGAGTCACATTGTCGTTTTGAAAAGAAAAAGTAATTCAAAAATAAACTTTCGGCAAAAATTCATAAGTGTCCTTCGCTAACCTCTCTTATTTACTTAAAATGGTCCTACATGAATCTTGATGGTAACTTTAGCTCTATCTTTTCACCCAAAAGACATTCATCTTTCTTGTTTCAATTAATTCTTATAATAGTAATAATATTCTTATCTTTATTTTCCATTAAAATTATAACTGTAACTCACATTATTTTCCCCATCGCACTGTTAACACTGTATTTTTGTTCTTTGATTGCTTGTTACACAGACTATGGAGGGCAAATGGAGATTCTGTTTATGATTGTGTTGGGTGCTGCTTGGGTTTGTGAAGTGAAGATGAGAGATTATGGAAATGTACTTCCAAAATTTTTATGGATTATTTTTGACAAAATAAAAGTATCTCAATTAAGAATGTATAATCTAAAAATATATTTTCGAATCTTATAGTAGGTTTTAAATATACACTCGTTTTCAAGTTTTATAGTAGGTTTTAAATATACACACGAGTCTAATAGTAAATTTTGGAGTTAATCCATATTTTTAGTCCCTTAATTTTAGTATCCAAAATGACCAATCTCACCGTCCATTAGCAGAAACTCCGTTTAAAGACATAGTAATTTTAATCCCTTAACTAAATTTAATATTTCATTTTAGTTACTTCCCTTCAGTCAATTTTTGAAAAAAAAAAAAGGTTTAATTCTGATAATGTGGTATTGACAGCAATGTCGTATTTTTGTCAGAAATTAACAAAAAGAACCAAATAAGATAGCGGAAGTAAAATTAAAGACTAACTTGTAACATTTTAGTTTAAAAACTAAAACAATACATTAAATTAAGTTAAAAAACTTAGCGGCGACTAATTATATCTAGGTTTTAGATAGTTTTAATAGAAGAAAAATATGATCTACATCCTTTTATTATACTACCATATCAACAATGACTTACCTGCCAACCAAGATTATTGATGTGGTGAGTATTTGAACTCTGAATCTAGATTAGAGAATGCTAAACGCAAAAGAAGTGAAGCATCAATAGCTGTGGAGTTTTAAAATAATAAAAATAAGATTATTCAGCAGTATCCAAATAAAATAAATGACATCGTCGTAGTCTCATACCACTATCATCTTTATCGTCATTATCATGCTCAAATTATATAATTATCCATCGGTCTCCCTACATAGTACAAACATAATAACCTTGTCCAGGAAAACCAGTCTGAATTGTTGTGGAAATGATGTGTTGATCTACCTTAAAATAACTAAAAATATAAAGAATGGTATATGCATTGTCAGGACTTGCTAATGTTTTTTATCTACTACTATAAATGATAAATGGCCGTGCCTATCATCAATCATATCACAAAATATGAGGTTGTGGATCAGAAGGAAAATGTGAAACAAGAAAACGGTGTATCATTTCAAAGCTGGTGAATGTGATTACAGCAGCTGGTGTTGTCCTCAAAAGGTTGGTGGCACATCCTCTGTAAAATCCAGGTATGCCTTCTTGTTGAAAAACCTTTCTAATACAATCTGTCATACCAGAGTATCGTTTCTCTGAGTGGTGCCCTTGTTCTTGCAATCTGGAACGTACAACCTGCAAACAAAATGCTAAAATATGTTACTTCATGGTATTTGTCTAACCAAAGAATGAAAATAAGTGATATCAAATTCAAGAATCCCAGCTCAATTCATAGGGATATGGCTCTAAATTGACAACAAAAGAGAGGAAACGATGAAAAATGTGTATGCTCAATATTCAAAGAAAAAGCTAATTACAAAAAGTATTATTCTAAGATTCCTTAAATACTGAAGAATTATAAGCTATTTTTCCATCAAACGATTGGCAAGGTTAATTGATTTGCAAGACCAGGTATCTAGAAGTATGCTTACCTAAGATTGTGCAAAAATATCTTAAACTAAAATAAGTGTCATTCAGCAAAATACCTCATGGGGATATGTCAATGTGGATGCAAAAATTTTGGAGACTGATGAAGCAATAGCAACATCGCGTGCACCAAGTTTATCAACTGCTGCGTCATCTAATACAAAATAGTGATCAAACTAACTGCCAAAACTTTCAAGAGTTCACAAAGAACGAGAACAGACATGAAATTACCTTGATTTGCTAAATAATATTTTATTGTTTCATACATCGGGAATTGAATGGCAACGTGACTGATACCAGCTAGAGCAGGTACAAGGCCACTGTTTATTGTAAAGAATATACCAAACGTCATTAAAGTGTTAATTATTAATTATAATGTCCCGTCCAATGACTATGTCCTGTTGCATTTGTGATTTAAAAAATACGAACCTGTACAGCCCCCGTATGCCCTCCTCGTGTGCAATTCTCCTCAATGCAGATAGTGTGCTCTTATATGGTACAACACCTGGTCTCATTCCCTGGGTCTGCATTAAAAAGGCAGCAAACTTACAGTGCAGAAGCAAGACAAAAAGTTCGTAGTTCTTCTATTTTTTCTCTATGACTTCACTTCATAATAATATACGTAAGATGGTGTTTATCAATACTATTATGAGGAAATTTGTACACTTAAATGTTTCTCTATTATTTCACTTCTTAATAATATACATAAATTTATCCATACAATTATGAGGAAATTTGTACACTTAAATATATCTAACATGTATCTACATTACAATAGATGTTTGCTAGATCTTTTATCCAACCCAACCCACTAAATAGAGGTTTCATTATCGTCCATAGATGCAATACAGAGCCACCAAACAATAATGTACTAATTGCATATTGATACACCACAAAGAGTACAAGTAGCTCATGCATTACGCCAACTATATGAGAATGCTGATAAAATATTTATAGGATTATAGAATAAATAGAAATTAGAGTAGTTAGCAGTTGTTATTAGAAGTTAGTTAGCTGGGGTTGGGGTTGTTTAGAGAACATGTGTATAAATAAGAGACACAGGGTAGATAGCACTTTGAATATGGTAATTGAAAATAGTTTTCTCTATTGTGAAGAGGAATCTCTTGAGAGATTATCTCCTACTCTATCCTATTTCTTAATAAAACTGTCGTCTTTGGAATTTAATTCTTGGACTCCTAACTGATTCTTGGTGGATGTCTCCTTCATAAATGTTGTATTGCTGCTGTGACAAGATATTATTTGGAGAACATTGTGCCTCCATCTTGTTGGACTCACCATGGAGCATCTTTTCAATACACCTTGACCAATCAACGCTTTCAATACGCCAATCCCTTTAACACTCTTCTTGATCATGAGTTGTAGTCTCTTTTCTTTCTTGGTTGCATCCAGAAATCTGGTTCAGTGCATGATTCAGCTTCTTGAGCTCAGGACAATGCAACCTGTGATTGTTGGCTCCATTCCAGACTGCTTCAGAATTTTCCACGGCGGTTGCATGTGATCCCATCCTTAATCTTTGCTGAAAGCACCATGAGATTCTTTCTTTTCCTTCTAATCCTCGTCATCGCCCAAGAAACTGTTGAGCTTTGTGTTGTCATCAATTATTGAAGAAACTTCTGCATCTTGAGTATTCTTTCCATTTTGCAAGAATACTCAAGATGTCAATCAGAAAATAATATAACAGTATTCTTGCCGTTCTGCTCGAGGTCAGGAACTCTGCTGAGTTGGCTCGAGACTTGTTCCAAATTGGCCTTCACCTCCTGGGGAGTTTGGCCATGAACATCAACCATTTTCTCCATGGACATCGTACAATTTTCCAAGGCGCTTGGAATCGAAGTGGCAGGTCGAACCAATTGTTAGGAAAACAAGAAACGGATTCCAAAGAAATAACAATGTTATTAGGAAATAGGATAGAATATGCGAGAAGCTTTCCTGAGTTTCCCCTTCACAATAGAGAATACTCTATTCACCACTACAATATTAAAACAGCTCTTTACTCTGTGTTTTCTTATTTATACATACACTCTCTATAACAACCCCAACTAACTTCTAATAACAACTATTAACTGCTCTAATTTCTTCAATTTCTCCAAATTCTATAATCCTAATAGATAATCAAATAATTAGTAAAAAATTCAGCATAAATTGAAGAAACGCACTTGAAGTCTAGTCTTGACAACCCAAAGCGGATTTGTAAACAAGGTAGTTGCAGCTCCAGCCCCAGCAGCAGCTGCCATATTAGCTCCGACTGGAAGGTGATGATGGTTTTCATCTGCACGTATATATCATAGCTATTATAATTTGTACATCTCTATGACTTCTAAAACCTAAGAAGCCCGCACATAGTATGACACAAATACACGGACACAAGAATTTTTAAAAGAGAAAAATAGGACAACCAAAATATGTTAATGCACACACACAACAAACAGAATAATTTACTGCAACATAAATGCACAGCATTTGTTATTGTTAAGAGTCTCAAACGGACAATATATGGCCTAAACATATCCTTATAAGTGTGGGGCAATCCTCACCCTACAAGCCGGTTTCATAAGGTTGAGTTAGGCCCAACCACATTCGGGTGGGCCACCTGCTATCTAGTTTTCTCTATCGGGCCACCCACTATTTATTTCCACGTTTCAGTTGTCCAGTCCTGGGCATGAGGGAGTTTGTTAAGAGTCTCACATCAGACAATATATGGCCTGAACATGTCCTTATAAGTGGGGGCAATCCTCACCGTGCAAGCTGGTTTCGTAGGATCATAATAAGTCAATATATGATGATCAATATTCATTAAAAAAAGATACTTGGTGATCATAATAAGTCAGCATAGTTACATGTCTCCGGTGATCATAATACATGGCGTATCTACCAAAATTTTGACTTCTGGATCTACCAAAATTTTGACTTTTGGTTCCGGCGAATGAACAATCATTGAGTCCACCTCTTTCCGGACAACACATACAAAGAGACCCGCCGACATAAAACATAATTAGTGAACTTATGAGAAATGTTTATATTGAATTTCTTTCTCTTCTATCTCCCATCTTATCTATTCTATATTATTCTATATTTTCTTGAGTTATTGACTAGAACATTATGATCTGGAAGTTAATCCTGGGCAAGTGTGTGTGTGTGTGTGTGTGTGTGTGTGTGTGTGTGTGTGTGTGTGTGTGTGTGTGTGTTGTGTAACATAAATGCACAATATCAATAAACATTACTAATTGTTCATTATTAATCGATAAACATATCAATAGTCATTAGTCAATATATGATGATCAAGATTTCTTAAAAAAAAAAAAAGTTAGTAAGTAGGCAGAGTACTCTTAAAATTTGGGTTAGATCTAACTCAACCATATAAAACCGGTTTTAAGGAGAGAGAGATATCTCCCACTTACGAACTCATTTTCAAACTATATCTCATCCAATGTGAGACTCTTAATGGTTTCAGATCTTTCAACCAAATATACAATCTTGTTTCTATAGTTAGTAAGACACATAGAAAATGTATCACATCCAAATGACAATCGTGTCTTTAGTTGGTAAGATGTATTTGAAAAGTATAGTAGGAGATATAGTTGGTAAGATACCAATACTTTTCCATTTTTGAAGTATCTTGGCTTCATAGGCTAAAAGAAAGTAAGGTGGCAGCTTCAAAAGTAATAATCAACAAGTGGACTATTTAAAGTCACAAAAAGAATCATGTCAACAGGCCCCTGATTTGGTTCAATATGAAAGTAAACAGCAATGGACTAACCATCAGAATGAAGAAGGCTTTTGAGCTGCTCATACATAGTAAAATAAACCTGCAAGTTTACAACACATTTAGAACACTTAGCTATAGCATAAGATATCAGTATTATGCTTCGAAATAGCATGTAGACAGAATAAATGAGATTTCTACAGACTAATGAAATAAACCAACAAATAGTAAAGCTAAATTGATTAGGCAACAAGAAAAAAAATGGTGAGAGCTTAAAGATCAAAGGATTTTACTAGTCTGACCATAAAAATAATATTGAGCCTTATTGTAATACTGATAGCTCTACTGTGACTCACAACTATCGAGAATTACTGGGGTCAGCGGCATGTTTTCAACTGGTTTAGCTTCAGTTTTAGTCTGGAGGTATTTTCATGAAGTCCAATGCTTAGTCTTTTCCATGTATCTGCTACTTGTGTAAGTTATTCCATAATTGATTCGACTTAAATGGCTTGTTCACTCTTTTTTTTTTGGACAGATGGCTTATCCACTATGTTTCTCAGTAACCGGTAATATTAAGTTTAACTTGGGCCTTGAATCATGAACAATTGGCCCCCAAGCTTTGAATAGTCCTATTTAAACTAAATTCACAACTATAAAAACTCCCATTATTCGAAGGCAGTATACATCACTTATACATCTTCACTATTTCCCCTTACTGTAAGACTTAATTGGAGAATTATCATTGTCTTCTATCTTTGTGCCTTCATTCCCTTTAATAAATTTTTAGCACACTCATTCTGTGTATCAACTTCATTGCAGAGCATAGTCTGCATTTATAAGCAACCTGGATTCATTATACAAAATGTAAGGGGATAGAAAATGCCAACCATAGGAATCAACTAGGGTGGCACAAATGGAAGAAAACATTCCAGTGTAATTTCTGATAGAAAATTTACAGCTAGGCTAGGCTCCGTTGACACCAGGATTCAAACTAAGCACACTTACACTTTCAATAATTCTTTGTAGAAGACGATTTAAATCAATCTAACTGTTAAATTTAACGTTCTTGTTAAGTAGATCAAGCCCATAAAGATTCATAGAATTTTGAATCTATATGATATTCCATCACATCATAATAAGTATTATTAAAACCTATGTTATCAAATCTCAGATAGCAGCGCGGCGGGACGACCCTAAAAATGGAACGGAACGGGACCAGGGAGTGGAACAGCCGATATTTTATTGACGCTGGCACATATACAGTTAATACTAATGAACACATATTTGTTAAAACCTAAAATAAATTAATCAAAATTCATGAAGTATTCATATTTAAAAATAAAATCCATAAGTCTTAGCAAAACATTCTTTCAAATGCCAATAAAATTCAATAAAATAACCTTACTGTCCATAAAATTTTAAAGGTAATAACATATACAGCTGACACGGAAGGAGCGGTCACATCAGAGGGACATCATTCCAAATCCAATCCCATTATCGCGATTGTTTTTGCCGAATCACCCATCTGGTGTCAGAACGGCACAACCTGGCGCTGCCTTCTTGATTTTATTGTTTTGTGTCTAGATAACGGCAAACGGCCGAGTTTAGTAACATAGATTAAATTATGAGTTTTGTTTTAATTATTCGAAATTTCATACCAATGAATGTCTAAATTAATTGAAATTTTGTTTTCATAACTATCAATATAAAATAAGATGATTCATCAGATTGATTGATTTAATTCGTCTTCTACTAGAAGTTATTGAAGGTGTAGGTGTGCTAAGCTTGACACATGGTGTCAACGGATTCTGCAATGTTGCGTTTAATAGAATGTTGGTGTGATGGTGATAAAGAGCTATCAAATAACTGAGCATAATGTTGCAAAGATGAAAATGTTGAGGTGGGGTACTGCTTTGTCATATAAGATAAGATGGGACAGAGAAAGAAAGCATTCAAAAGATACTTGAGGTTGCTCCCATTGTAGAAAATATGATAGTCCCACCTTAACTAAGTTGAACATGTGCAAAGAAAACTCATGGAAGTGCCGATCAATAAGATAAGCCAGAGGAGGGCGGTCGAACTTTTATTTTTTATAAGCGAATGTTAGTTGTTAGTAAATCATGTCAGAAGCCAGGGTTTGAAACCTGGACTTTCTTCTCAAAGTCTTTTCGGTGAACAATTATTAGCAATAAGGGGAAATCAAAGAATACTATAGGTCAAACATCAAGAGCGATTTGAATTTAAATGATTAAACTTTTGCGGCTCGTGGCATGAGAATATGGTATTGTCTAATTCACACGGCTGATCCCATTTAGAGGGAAAAGGCTTTGGTTATTGTTGTGTTACGAGTGTAAAGCCTAATTATGTAACTTAAACACTTTGAACCGACCTTATAATATAAAGGCTGGTTGGATTAAGACCAAGAACACAGCAATCGGCATTTTAGTGTATTCCAAAAGAAGAATGAACAAAAAAAAACTTTGTTAAGAAATCATAAAATGGTCAGGGCATCTGCTTAGCAAGGAGATGGTAAATTTTCACATAATTGACTTCATACCCTGTCATTTCAGAGCAACAACACCAATCCATTGATTTTAACCAAATATCCATAACAAATCAGTTTTGTAACTGTCATCCTTTCCCAAGCCAAGAGTGAGGTAGGCATTCATTACTTATTATAAATATATATTTCGGTGCCAATTTGAGGCTAGAATTGACAAGGCTAAAAATATTAGACGGGAATGAAATAAATTTTCCGGGATTCTACTTGTCGTATACTTCATTAAGAATATAGTAAACACAAAGTTACAAATAAAACTGATGAGGAGAGCAAGGACTCACCGCCCAATTTGGAAGCAAAGCTAGCACAGTAGGAGCCAATCCACGGTACATGCCACGTAACCCCTCCTTGTGAAATATCTGTTGCAAACTGCTGACTATTACACTGCCTGATAACACAAAATTGCAGTATTCAGTTTTAGTAGTCCATACTAATATCAAAATTACATATTGTTGTTTGCTCCTTCAGGTAATAATATTAAAAAGCTCACATTTGAAGCAGTGGTGGAGCTAGCCCCTCTTAGGGGTTTCAATAACTTAAGAAATGTACAGATACCCCTATATATTTTGCATTTTGAACCCCTGAATTTATTTATTTATTTGCGCCACTAACCCAAGAGGCCATAAATTGTTTTGTTTTTTTACACACCCTGGGTCAGTCTCCTAGATATGTCACAGTATTCAAGTATTTTGATTCTCAGTAAAATACTTCCTCCATTTCAAAATGAATGTTGTTTAAGGTTTTTGTGCACAGATTAAAGAATGCAATAAGTTGTTAACAAAATGAATGTTGCTTTTTGAACCCCTGAATTCTATTTTGCACCACTAGCCCAAGAGGCCATAAATTACTTTTTTCTTGCACACCCCGGGTCAGTGTCCTAGATATGTCACAGTATTCAAGTATTTTAGTTCTCAAAGTAAAATACTTCCTCCATTTCAAAATAAATGGCGTTTAAGGTTTTTGTACAAAGATTAAGAAATGCAATAAAGTTATTAACAAAATCAATGTCGTTTAAGATTTTTGTACAAAGATTAAGATTAAGAAAGGCAATAAACTTGTTAAAAGAGAACACAAACTAACCCTATTAATATGTTGGAAGTAGTTTACGGTGCTAATTAAAGGGCACGATTAGAAAAATAACAATCATTTCTACCTTGAAAAATGAGAACATCATTCAATTTGAAACAGAGGGAGCACTAAACAGCAAGCATTTAGAATTAGAATTATCTACATGGCAACTCTTCATTGTCTTATTTTGTCATCATGATTCAAATGATATTGATAAAACAGATAATAACCAATATAAAAAATAACAAAATGGAAGAAGCACGAAGCAAATTATACCTTTAACAGTTCCATTGGCGAACTGGGGCACACCGTGAACCTGAAACCTAGTTTTGATTACATCTAAAGGACACACAAACGTAGCAGCAATAACTCCTACATCAAAATCAAACAGAAATCAACAAACAAAACAAGCATATAAATTCCACGAAATAAGAAAGTCAATCCCACGAAATTTAACAAAATTGTGATGAGAAAATTGAGTACCGGCGGAAGCACCAGAGGCGGCATTAAAGAGAATACATTTAGGGACGATATTAGTGGCGGCGGCGGCGTGTGGATCGGAGGAAGGCATGGTTTGTGAAATCGATAGATAAAGAATCGAACGTGAAAAGGGAGTCCTCTCTGGAGAGGGCAATGGCGGAGGAGCAAGGTCGCATGGCCTGCGATTGGGGAAGAGATGGAGAGACGGAGTCTCGTTCGATGGATCGAATCAAGGGCGAATCATTTGAGAAATGGGATTAGGGTTCGAAGAAAGTCAACGCGCGAGTCAACTTTGTCACCTCACCACATGCATTCCTTTACCTCTGCTTCTCCGTCGCGAAACCACAAATATCAAAAATATCATTACTCCTAGTTTCAACTTGGTGGGTCCCACCCATAAATTTAATGTTTTAATTATTACTATTACGATCCTTACTTTATCCAGTCAAAACTATCATATCTTTATTGAAATTACTTCTTTCAATCATTTTTAATGGTCAATTTGCTCGAAAATTGGAATTTTTTACCACTATACCCAACACTTTTAAGACAATATGTGTCATATTATCCAACATTTTAAATTAAACACTATTATATTTATGTTTAAAAAAAAGTTTTTTTAAAGAGGGGGCGCCATCTTGGATGGAGGCACCCGTATTATTATTTGAAGGGAGGCGTCATCCATAATTGAGGCACCTTTAAAATTATAAAGGGGGCGTCATCCATAATGGAGTCAATCTTATAATTTTAAGGGGGCGTCGTTCTCTTTGGAGCCCCCTTATTTCGTTTAATTATTTAATTCAAATATAAATAATATAATAAATATTTATAATATTTAATGTTATTTTATACCAAATTTTTTTTTGTATAAATAGTTAGACTTGTTTCATCCAAATTTAGGAGAGTGAATCATGTATCTTAAAAGATATGGGCATGTCATTTTCTCAAGAACTAAGCCTCCGATAAGGATGTTGTTTTGGAACATCCAGAGTTTAGAGCAACTACGAAGAAATTTGAATAGTTGGTTAGAATGAGACATTCCAAATGGTGAAAGCATTAGGAGTATTGAAATACTTGTTTCGTACTTCTCTATTGTAGACAGAAATATACGGCGGGAGTGGGTGCGAATTAAAGATGACAATAAAGTTAGGTCTATGATGTTCGGAACTGATGATATTACTTTGATTGTTGTTATATCTTAGTTTATGTTGTAATAATCGTTATATTTTTAATGATTTGCGTTGTTGCTCTATAAATATTTCAATTTGTTTATGTGGTAATCAAAAGTTGTTATAAATATTAAATTCCAAGGTTACACATTTTTTTAATGACCAAAGTAAATCTATCTAGAACTTGTTCCAACATTTGGACAATTTTTCCTCATATGTCCGGGAAAACGACATATTCCGCACAATCTTTCCATTTTCTTAGTTGTATCCATTTCAGTTGTAATCTGCGTGCTTTTGGGGCGGCCCTTTTTGTTTCTTCTCATATTTTCATTGTGGTAGATTGTGTCTCCGTGATAGGTTGGCCAATAGTCCTCACTAGCTACCACTGGAAAACTGTTATTGTAGATACCGAATAATTCCACCATCTTGTAAACTTCTGATAGTTGCAAGAATGGATCATGACGAGCACTGGAACATGCGGCAATGACATGTGAACAAGGCATGCGAAAGGTTTGAAACTTTCTGCAGTCCCACCAATTTTTATGAATTTCCACGCTGTAGTGTCCCATTGGCCGACCCTCGTTGTGACCCATTGTCTCATCAACAATGAAGCTATAATCGTGATGATCAAATGGTCTAACTTGATGTGAGGCCGCCTAAGAAGTTTCATCCTTCATATTTTCATACATGATTTGCTGAATATTTGCCCTGATTCCAAAACAGCGCTCCATTTTTTGCCTCTTGCCGCAAAAAGTTACCCTAATATGTAATAGGTTGCTCTTACCAACGCAGTGATGGGTAGGTTTCTAGTTCCCTTAAATACGTCGTTTAGGGATTCTACAAGATTTGTGGTCATGTGACCCCATCGGCATCCTCCATCAAAAGCCCTTGTCCATTTCTCGACTGGAATGCTATCCACCCAGCTTAATGCTTCCGCGCTTGACAATCTTATGTCTTCGTGGTAATACATGAACGATGGTTGGTTTAAGGTATACCCAACGTTCACAACTTGTTTACGGAGATTTCTGTCTTTCATTTCCCACATAAAATTCTGAGCAATGTGTCTTATGCAGTAGACATGGACAAAAGGAGGATTGTGCCACCCATTAGCAGGATTGTTGTAGGAGCTCACAATAGAGGCGTGTCTATCGGAAATCAGACATAAGTTGGGTTGAGGAGCGACATGTGTTCTGGGATTTTTGAGGAAGAAACTCCAAGTTTCATCTGTCTCACCCTCGACCAGGGCAAAGGCAATCGGAAATATATTATTATTTTCGTCTTGTGCAACCGCCATCAACAATGTTCCTTTGTATTTTCCATACAACCATATTCCATCGACTTGAATAACTGGTTTGCAGAACGCAAAACCTTTTATACACGGTTGAAATGCCCAAAAGAGACGAGAGAATATCCTACTTCCAACAACACATGTTCCTTCAGGAGTGTGTGCTGGAAGTGACTCCAATATTACAACCGTACCAGGAACATATTTTTGAAGTGCTAGTAAATACTGTGGAAGTTGATTGTAAGATTTTTCCCAATTCTCATATACATGTTCAACCGCTTTTATTCTTCAATCCAAGCTTTCCTGTACGATGGGGTATAGTTGAATCGTGCAACAACATGAGAGATAATTGTGTTCACCTTCACAGATGGATCTACGCCCAAAAGATGCAAAATCTCTTGGCATATCAATTGAGAGCTTAGTTTTCCATGATCTTGTCGATTGATGTTGGTTGTGCAACTATGAGGTGGATTCATCGAACCTATCTCCCAACAATCACTTCTTTTCCGATAGAACGCTGCTAACCGAAACTTGCAATGTTCGTTACGACAAACTACGACATAGCGTTTTGAGTCATTCTGGTTTACTTCAAAATCAACGAAGTTATCCATATGAAACTTTCTTATAGCTTTCATGCACTCTGCTTTTGTGTGGTACTGGTTCCCCACTTTCAATACACCTTCGATTTGTTTAGAAGGATTGTAGAAAAAATATGAGGAAGTATCGTCTCTACTCAATTGCAAGTTAGTCATGTGTTGGGGAGGAAAATACATATGATTTAATGGTAGTGCCTCTTCATCTATGTCTTGAAGTGGAGTTATTGTGGTGTAGTCCCCAGTCCCGAACAAATTAACCATTTGATCAACCATGGCCTCAGGTTCTTCTTCCTCCTCGTCCACAACATCAACTTCATCTAGATCCATTGTTTCGTCGTGAGATTCACCAACTTCATGTTGAGTCTGGCAAAGTAATAGATAAACCTCGATATAGTCGAACCCATAGTGTTCATGACTATCAAACATTTGTTGAACATTGTTGTCGTCTTGTATATTCTCTTGAAAATACTTGACCTGATTGTTGTCAAAGAAAACGAGACTTATGTATATGATTTGAGAGATTGGACCAGACAATATCTTCGACTCTACTCGCTCTTTGAAATGCAAAAAATTTGATTTTTTGCTCATTGTTAATCGGGTAACATCTGTATTTTGAAACCCAAAAATGGAATTTTCAGAGATGTATGTGTCTCCATTAAAATGAGCATGAACAATATAATTTGTTGTTCTAGACATATTTGCATAAAAGTGTAAGAGATATATTTGCATAAAATGAGATGTATTTAAATTTGTCTTCAATGTATACATATATAATAAATGTGTATGAATTAAATAATAATAAATGTTAAAGGGAGGCGTCATCCATGATGGAGTCCCTTCCCTAAAACAACAAATTATATTGTTCATACTCAAATTATATTGTTAGTTTGTCAATAATATATATAGTTATTATTTTAAATAAAATAATTATTATTAATTAAAAGTATTATAAAAAAAGATAAAAAAAATAATATTAAAAATAACTAAAATATTTTATTTATAAATAAAAAATAACAATTAAAAAATGAATATTTTAACAAAAGAAAATGTTAGAGCACAATTGTTATACAAGAAATAAAGTGAAAATTATTAGAATCAAAATAGTGATTGCATTTAATTCGCCTTAATTATTATATAATAAATTACATAATATGATGATACTATAAATTAATTAACTTCTAATTTGTAATTGTATTAGTTAGTTATAGTTAACTAATTATTATAAGTGTTGATTAACTTTTAAACAATTGAGCTAACTAACAACTCGTTCTTTTAATTTAATCTTATAACAATCACTTGACAAGTTCTATTGCATTTTTTAGAATTATAAATTTTCTAATTTTCAACCATTTAGTAAGCACATTTGCAACTTGTGCAGAGGTATGGAAGTGTACAACTTCTAGCTTTCTTTGATTGACTTCCTCATTTAAGAAATGAAATATTGTCTCTGTTTGTTTGCTCCTATCATGCAAAATTGAGTTCTTTACTAAATTGATAGCTGATTTGTTATCAAATTGCAACTTGATTAGTCTTTTGACTTCAATAGTCAATTCCGTTTGAACTGAATTCATCCATATGGTTTGACATGCATCACAAAATCATGTTATGAACTCTAACTTACATGATGACACAACCACAACCAATTGTTTTCTTAAGCACTAAGAAATCGTTAAACCAAGAAACTTAAAATAGTATATTGTGGAGTTTCTTTTATCATTTTATCACCACACTAGATTGCATCTAAGTAGTAAATAATATATGTATCAAAGTTCTTTGCATATGTTGGAAATAAAATTTCATAGTTCATTTTGCCCCACAAATACCTCAATATGAATTCTTATTTAATCATCCATAAACTTGCTCACCAAACCAACAACAAAACAAATGTTTAGTCTGCTATTACATATATATCTTATATAACCAACAATATCCCTTAAAATTATGGAGTCCACCTTTTCTTCATTGTCTCTTTTCTATATCTTGAGAATTACTTCATTAGGTGTTGTTGCAAAGATACATTCTTCTATCTTAAACCTTTTGA